ATTTTGGTAGTAAGGTCATTTTGAGTAATTAATTCTGCTTATGCAAGAACATTGGATGTCTTTCCATCTTCAAAGGTTTTCTTCAATTTCAATCCTTAGTGTTCTCTAATTTTTACTGTAGAGCTCTATTATCTCATTGGTTAGATTAATTTACATGACTATTTTTTTCCTTGAGGTTTTCTGAATGGGTGGCTTTTCTGATTTATTCTTTGGCTGAATCACAGTTGGAGTATAGGAAAGCAACTGATTTTACAAATGTAGATGATGTGTCCTGTTCCTTTTCTGAATTGATTTATAATTTCTAGAAATCTTCTGATGCAGTGTTTGGGGTCCTCTAGTTAGAGGATCATGTCATTCACAAGCAGATGGTTTCTTCTTTTCCTATCTGTATCCCTTAATTTTCATGTCTTGCCTGATTACTCTGTTTGGTGTTTCAATAACTACATTACACAGGAGTGGTGAGAGTGGACAACCTGTCTTGTACTTAATATTAGATGAAGTACATTTAATTTTTCTCCATCTGTGGCTTTGTCATTCATAGCCCTTATAATGCTGAGGCAAGTTTCTTCCTTTCTCATCTTCTCCAGAATTTGTAATATGAAGGGATGCTGGTTTTTATGAAAGGTCTTTTCTTTACCTATTGAGATGGTCCCGTGATTCCTGTCCTTAATTCTGGCTAAGGGGTGTATATCATTTATTGACTTATGTATGTTGAGCCAACCTAGCATTCAGATTTGGTTGCATGTGCCCACACCCATTTTGGAATTCTGGCAAAGGCCTGTGGTCAGGGTGCCAGCAGGTTTACCACCATAAGAGTCTTTGTCTGGGGACTCCATGCAGTATTTGCAGGTCCAGTGTTGGTATTCCTATGGTTTTGGAGGTGCCTGGAGTCTTCCTGCTGGGAGTGCTGGTGTCCCTTGTCTTGCTGCTACATCTCAGGGTTGCTCCTTTGCATGAGTGTATCCCTGCTGGTCTCTCTGCAAGGAGGAGCAGCAATGAGATCTTGGGATGACAGATTCAGAGAGCCTGCAGTCTCTGAAGCTCAGATCTATTGGATGGAGACTGGATTTGCAAGAGATAATCTAGGTCTGGTGATCCCAGGAGACATTAGAGACAAGGCTGAGAAACTTTTGAATGCTGAGACAGTTTGACTTTTTATCAAGATTTATTTTTGCAATTTGCTAATATTTCCTCCCTACTTGGAACAGTGTGTTTTCTATGCATCAGTGTGTGGAAGACAATGGTATATGAATGGTGTTTTACATTTTCATTGTATTCATATGTCTTTCATTTCCCCCTTTGTTCATATTCTTTCTCTCATTTGTCTGTTTTCTTGAAATTTCTTTCCAACTTTTCTCCAACCAACAGACAATCTCTGTTAGCTTCTCTCCCACTATTCCTGTCAATTTTTGCTTCCAGCTTCTCTCATCCTCCCTCATGAACATCATGTACTATGCTACTTCTGTTCTCTCATCCACCATTTGAAATTGTAAATCATTTTAGCACATATTCTGTTTACACTATAGAGAGTTATTGAACTCATCATTTGGGTGTAATGCTTGAAAGGAGAAGAAGTCTTAGTGGGGAGCTATAAGGTTTAAGGCTATATTTTATTTATACTGGATGCTATTGATACTGATTTCACCATTAAAAGTGAGATACTGGAAACTTTCAGGGACACAGGGTAGAATTTGTGCTGCCTTAGGTCTATATTCCTAAATGGGAAAATACATGAACAACATGAAAAAAAAACAAGGGAATAAAGTGCCCCAGCAAACCAAGATGCTCCAATGACAAAAGCCACTGATAACACAGTAGAAGGAATGTTCAAGAAGGAGTTCAGAATGTACATAGTTCAATTGATCTGTGAAGTAACAGATAGCATAAGAAATAAAATCAAAGAAAAAATACAGGAAGTAAAACATCACTTTAATAAAGAGTTAGAGATTGTGAAAAAAGCAGAAATTCTCAAAATGGTGGAATCAGTAAATCAAATTATAAAATCAATAGAAAGCATCACCAGATCCCTTGGAAGACTGAATCTCAGTCAATAAAGACAAAATATATACCCTTGAAAGTATAGTTGACCCTGCAGAGATGATGATAAGAAACCATGAAGAGAAGAATTATGGGATAACATGAAAACACCAAATTTAAGAGTTGTCAGAATAGAAGAAGGAGCAGAAATACAAATCAAAGGAATACACAATTGTTTCAATAACACAATGGAAGAAAAATTTTCACACCTAAAGAATGGAATGGAAAATCAAATACAAAAGGCTTACAGAACTCCAAATGTACAAAATTACAGTAGAACCATTATATGACACATTATAATGAGAATGAATAACATAGAGAATAAAGATAAAATCTTACAAAGACTGTGAGAGAAAAAATGAAATTACATATGGGGGAAACCAATTCAGATCTCAACTGATTTATCAATCAAGACCCTCAAAGCTAGTAGGTCCTAGAATAATATATTTCAAGCTGTGAAATATAACAGATAACAACCAAGAATTTTGTACCCAGCAAAATTAAATTTCAGATTTGAAGATGAAGTTAAAACCTTTCACACTAAAGAAAAATTTTAAAAATTCTCAACTAGAAAAAGCTTTCTAGTTACATGACAGAACATTCTCAACAAAATATTCTATGAGGATGAAGTGGGGAAAAAGGTGAAAACCAGCAAAGGGAGGATCTACACTAAAGGAATATTCAATCAAAAAAGACACTAAGTCAAATTAAGAACCAGAAATAAATCAAAAGGACAAAGGATAGAAATCATATCG